AAGGAAGAGGGAGGACCCTAACCAAAGAGGTTGGGCACTAAAAGAGTTATGTTTTAAAGAATCACTGACCGACAGCCAAAGAGGGAGCCTGAGTTCCAGTTGGTAGTGGCGGGGTAGGCTGGGTTTGAGTTGGTGGAAGTGGCGGTGCCTGTGTCGTCGTTGGAGCTGGAGGTTGGGTTGGCGGTGGAGTTGAACCTGTTTGAGAAAAATATGATTGTTTTTGTTCTGCTTTGGCTTGCATCCCTGGTGACCTGTTACAAGAGCTATTAGGGAGCTTAAGCAATGACGCTGGCAAACTCAAATCTATGATTAAGTAACAAATTTATATTGAATAATTTATATTTTGTTGAACATCGCAGTTATTTCAATCTGTTTAGTAAGCATACGTCTATCAGTCTAAAAACTTTCTCAAGCTAAATATGTAATGAAATCTTTCAATTTCAAATAGAGAGACTAAAAATTGCTCCGTCGTTATTCAGTTGTTTTCCAAAATACGCAGAATTTGATCAATCAGTTTCGTGCCATTTTTGCGGACGGCGGTTACTAGATGTACCAAGATGTATAACGTTTTAGCAAAGCTGTGAGGGGGTAAATTGCCTCATTGTGGAATTGGCTGAGAGCAGGCCAATTTATCGTAAATTACATTTTACACTGCATTAGCAAACGTTCGTGATGTTCACAGTCATACAATAAATGGATAATCGTATAAAAGATCAATAAAGGATTTACACTACTCGTGATATTTGAAAATTCTTTCAAATTGCTTTCGCCTAAAGGCTCGTGCAATTTTAAGTAAAATTTCAAACATTACTCATAATGTAAAAATTCTTAACTGCACTTGCATTTCATATACGAATACCTATATTCCCAATTAGTGTTTGATAGCAGTACTGTCCTACCTCCACAAACATTGCAGCTGTGAGGACAGTTTGGTAACATATATCCTGGCGCTGACTGACAATGACCATCCTGAGCCCACATTGGACAATTTCCATTCTTGTCAATGCAGGAGTCTTAAAAAGAAAACAAAAACACGTGTTTATCGTCACCCTTCATGTTACCTCCCCCTTAATGATCAAAATATTTTTTCGTCATTTCACTTCATTGCTACGTAGGCAGGTGGGAAGAAAATAAAAGATATATAAAAGCTAGCTGGGAAACATTTTCTTAATTTTAACCAGATTCAAGACGCCAAGATTCGAGCTATGGACAAATATGGTCGGATGCGGTCTCGAATGAGGGCAAAGGAAGATGGGAAGACCTGTTAAGACCTGGAGAAGGTCGACTAAAGAAGAGATGAAGATGGCCAACATCAACTGGAACACAGCTGAGAAGATGGCACCAAACAGAGTCCACCGGCGGTGCATTGTTGACGCGCTTTGCTTAAAGGAAAGCCTAAAGGATAAAGTCAGTAAGTCAGTGATCTGGAGTGACTGCTGAGGGCCGTATTTTCAGCTCTCTTCTTGTTGTTTGGAAATGTAGTGAAATACTCTCTCTCGTGTTTGGCATATTACTTAAACCTACATTGAGGTACTTCAAGGGTCATTTTATTTTCATATGTATGAATCTGATGCTTTCAGCTTCGCTGACGAGTATGTATCACAAATTGCATGTTTCATATTACAGATTTCCAGTAACAACAGAGTTTTCTTGTTTGGATATCATTGCCGGAGGTAAATTAACGTTTTACCTGAACTACAAAGGTCACATGTTTTCGTGCACCAGTACAGCATATTGTCCGCATGCTGAGAACACAAGCCATTCCGCTTGAATTCGTCACACCGCTGACTTCTATCAATGCACTGGTTACCTGAAAAAAAATGAGACATGAGAAAATAAAAACAAACGAAGAATGCCTGAAAAGCAAGCAGTGATTCTAGCGCGCAGTCCCAGCTATCGTAGTAATGATATGGGGGGTAGTTGAGGTTTGCATCATGATCAGGCCTAAACAGCCGCGGAGCTCACTACAGTTTCTGTAGCACTAAGCAACTAGAAGTATTTCTACTCCCCTCTGGATGGGATACTAGTTCATTGCAGGGTTACCCTGGCATTCTATTCGCCGGTACCCATTTATACACCTGGGTGGAGAGAGGTACTGCGAGAGCAAAGTGTCTTGCCCTTGGCCATGAACACAACCAACTCGGACCGCTTGATTCAGAGTCCAGCGCCTCTACGATGATATTGAAACCAGAGGCGCTCAAAAGTACCCTCTATGGTGAACATTTTCTAACATGCGATCAGGCAGGAAAGAACAGAACAACTCGAACGAAAAGACTGTTTAGTTGAATACGAACAACGTAAACTGTCTCTGATGATACTTTGAAATCAGTTTTGTAGAAACGAATGCGGTAATCAACAGGGAAGGACACAAGGAACACATCATATTAATCCAATGTAAAAAAATACACTCACTTCTTTTCTGAACTCCAGGAGCTGGCCGAAAGGAACTAAAACTATCGATGGCTCTTTTCCTCATAACGCCTGGAAAAGATGCATAGCACTGTCAATCTTACGCTCCAAATATTTGTTATGAGTTCCATAATAAATGGTTTCTAATTTATAAAATTGTTCCACAGACATGAGATAAAAATAAGACTACGTCGAAAGTGACGCGAAAAAAAGGAGGCAAATGATTTCTTGGGGCCATTTTTTTTTCTGGCCCTTCAGCTCATTGTGTTGTAAATAAGTATTTATACCGGCGCGGTATGAACTCATCAAACAAAGCAGCGACTTCTCAGTTGATGGTAATAAATTCTTGTGATACAATGTATGCAAAGATTTTAGTTTAATGGGCAGAGGAACCACATGCAACTCAGGTTAATTTAAACGCGTAATTAAATCGCGTGTAATTTTATCCAAGCTCTAAAATTTCAGCTGAGTTTGATTATTTTGTATTCAAGTTGGCACAATGAGTTCTAAATATGCTGTTTGTTTGGGTAGTGCGCTGATTAAAAGCAATTTTAGAGATTTTTTTCTGGGACGTGAATTATTTCTAACGTGACTGAAATAAAACCTAAATGAAAAGTATAACAAAGAATGCCATAACCGTATTTACTCACTGCTACACTTGTACATGGCATTCGTCTGCTGTGCGTCTCCATCACTGAGTACCACATAAGGAGTCTTGCCTTGCATATCAACGATATTACGGATAGTTGGTTTGCCATTTTTGGAGAAGGCCGTGAACGGGTAGTGCATGATAGAGGCAAAATCGTACGGCACACCATAATCCACCACTTCAGTTCCCCATTTCCTTTTGGCGAAGGCGTCTTCAAGACCTTGAAGAAAGAAATAATGGAAAAGAAATAAGCCATGTCCGAGTTGACGTCTGCCTCAGTGTCAAAACGAGTCTGCGTGCGAAGCTATTCTGTAATTCTGTTTTCAAAAGCACTGGCCAGTCCTATGAAAAAAGTCACTGGGTTAAGTAAACGTGGAAACGTTTGCCCTCGTAAAATGCCTCAATTTAAGCGAATAAAGAGCTAAGAACAGCAACATTCGTTTTGAGAGAGGCAACGCGACGTCGCGTCAACTAAATTTTCTTCACACTCGCAGAGGCATACGTGAGTTATTTACTGTACCTCATTTCAGCTTATACCGCTATGTAAGAACTATCTTTTAGCAATTAGACTTGAAGACGAAATTCACGTCTAAACGGAACCATGAAAATTCACCGTCCTGATTCAAGCTCTCTGCAAAACCCAAGATTCAGTCACGTTGTTGATTTGCAGCAGACACCAAACGAAATGTACCAAGATTTATTACGCACGTGCTCACTAATTCTAAGCTATTGTTTAACGACGTTTTCATTGTTCTCGCTGTGGTGTTTTGAACTTTACTCCCGTTTTGATTTGTTTTTGAAAAAATACGCCACTCTTTTAGCAGTTTTCTTCGCTAACAGTTGGGATAATTTTAATATTGCCAGTATAGCTGTCCCTTTATTCGCGCAATGCCAAAATTTCTCAAGTTGGCGACAGACATTAGAATTTTCCCAGAAAAAAAATTCAGTTTCAGCCAGAACTGAATATATTTTAGCCAGGGTTCAAAGGCCGGAAATATTGCTTGAAATTCAGATGGTTCCTAATAGACTTCGAAAAATTGTACTGAAGTGAAGTCCAGAATCAATATATGAGCTGTCTTTCTCCAGGTAAACACAATAAAGTTTTGATTTCATTAAAGATACTTTATTTCGCAAACTCCAAATTTCACAAGATAAAACATTAGCAGAAGCATATCACCTAGATCTAGGTGATATGCTTCTGACATTAGTTAATACCGAACTGCTTAACATCACCCTTGATTCTTTTACAAAAATGTTCATGTTTGGCTCCGCTGATCTTCATAGATAAGTCCCAGGGTAAATTATTGAAATAGAGGTGATATAATTTCTCAGTATAATTATAATTGAATAATCTCACCATCTAATACGTTCTCCCATATAACACTGATGTAGTTGTCACGGTCAGGCCTACTTTGCTCGTGCCAGAACCCAACTGAATGCCCGATCTCGTGTTCCATTACGTGCTGAAAATCGCAGTTGTCACCAATAGAGATCTGGGTCTTGTAGCCGTGATGGCCCACGTGACCCCAACAGCTGAAAAAGTAACACAAGTGAGTGAATGAGAGAGCGAACGAACGAACGAATGAAACTAAGTACCGATCTGACATCAGAGAAAACGAACGAATGAACGAGCGAACGAGCGAACGAGCGAACGAGCGAACGAGCGAACGAGCGAACGAGCGAACGAGCGAACGAACAAACATGTTTCATTAAAAAGTCAGGTTTTACTTCGTTCCTTTTAGGAGTCTATTAAGCTCTGCACACTTTGTGCAAGCGTATACAAAGTTCTTATTGACTCACCCCTGCCCCCTGAAGAACTCCAAGTAAGCCTTCTCATTGGTTCGCTCCACAAAGCGGATACACGTCTTGCTCTCCCACACTTTCATGGCTTGCTTGACTGAAGCGACCGCACTTTCCATGTTCGCTTAGGAAACAAATGAAACAGTAGTTGTTCAAAATCGAGAAAAAAGAATCAGCCATAGACGATGCGATGGGATTTTATGGGAACTTGGGATTACAACTTACTCCTACTTAGAGATCGAGTACATGCACGAAAGTGTTTAACGATGAGCTGTTATCATTGAATGCCCATCAGGAAAAATGCTGACTATAAATTATACCCAGAATCATTCCGTCTGTTCATCAGCTCCATAAAATCAAATATTGTGTGGTTTATCCTTTTTCTGACGAAGTTTCTTCAATCACTTATATCTGGTAAATTTTTAACAAGATAATTTGCCTTGCTCTTTCTCAATGTAAAATTATCATCATCATCATCATCATCACCGTAAATATTAATAAAAAAACAATAACAATAACGAAAAGTCGGCGAGGAGACCTCCACCATTTTTTTCATGAAAGACTAATCAGTTTTTTTCTTCAAGCTAGAGAAGCTTGTTGAACTAGTTATTAATACTGGTAGTAAATTGATAACGGTGTTTTTTATACCACATCATAGAAAATACAGCCAGTCAGAAAACAGGAAAGCCGTTGTGTACTCGACGGTGTGCCACTCGAAAGCGTTGAATAACTAGTATACATTGGGAAATATCTATAATATATTAAAGTTATTTTTAGAATTAATGTAAGAGACAAGTGAATGGATTCTTGGCTCACTTACCAACAGAACAGTCAAAGGTAAATGGAATCACAGCATTGGGCCATCGCTCCTTGGGAACGCTGCTGGCCGCACGTGATTGCGGGCCGTAAGGATTTCCGTATTTCTTCATGTTGTCTTGCTGTTGTTTGGTTAGCTTGATGTCGCCGCCGTAGAGAGACTCTTTAAGGCCAGGACTTTGATGAGAATCTGCAAAATTGCCACAAAGTACTTGACATTTGATAATTTCTCAGAAGAAGTAGTTCTTAAAAGTCAGTTTCATCTTCTTCATAAAATGGTCGCCATGAGTCGACGCCAATCATTAACAAGACAAGACAACAACAAGCTTTATTACCAAACTAAAAGTTAAACTTAAATATTAGCTTCTCGCTTCCGGTGTGCTGATGACGCAGCTAGGCAGCCGTGTTCAGTTGCCATCGTTACCATAAAGAAGTGAACTGATTTGAAAACGTGAGGTGCGCATTGCATAGTTCCCAGACCTCAATATTTTGCGGCGGTAAAAACTCTTCGGGTCACGTCTGCCACGTCACTGAAATGAAGTGGCCGTGAAGGCTTGGGGGAAACCTGTGTAGGCATTTCCAGATACGCCTAGCATTCATAAGCGATAATCCCGACGACTGTGTATCTTAAATAGAAAAGAGAGACTATCATTTTGTTTGTTTGTTTGACTTCTTTACGGTTTTACCTGGGTGTTGTTCAGCTCCACCTTTTTGAGGTTCCTCTTCACACAAAACCACAACAACTAACAGAGTACAGACCGCAAGGCACAAACTTTTCGTCATCTACAACACGAAAAAAAAAAAAAGACAAAAAACATCTACTGAGTTGTAAACCTTTAATTTCCAAAATCATCAGCACCTAACTTCTCCATACAATATGACTACATCTTCAACAGAAAGGTGATGAGCAGAAACAAAACGATCGGACAAAACTTCCGAGGTGTTATCTAGTTAGGCTCGCTAATATTTTCGTTACGTTGGGCGTAAAACAATACCCACAAGAGGGGATTGGTATTCCGCGAATTATAGTTTGACCTTCGGCTTTTTTTAAAAACGTTTGCAAGGTACAAAATGATATCAGACTTTTACCAATGGGCCAGCGAAAATACATGCACGCCCATTTCAAAAAGAAATTTGATAAGTCTCGATCCCTAATTGTCGACTTGGGGTAAGTTTTTACAAAAGCGCGTCTTTAGAAACACAATGGCCTCTACTGTTTATAGTATGGTGTGCGCGCCACTGAGAATTAAGTTACCCACACAAAATAGGTTCTTCACAAAATTGCCGGTGTTCGTTTATCAGGAGTGTTCACTTACAAAAATTACTTCATCTGTTTTAATCTCTCATTTTGTCTCAGTAATTTTCAGCTTCTAAGAAATTAATTGACTGGCACAAAGCCAAAAAATATCAAATTCAAACCATTAATTGATCATATAATCTTACCTTCATTTCGCTTGAATACAGATCGCCTCATCAACTCGCACTACCGGGTTTCAAGTATCTTTTGCTCCTCAAAACTATTGTTTTATGCAAGTTCCGTTGATTCAGGTTTCCAAAGGATCAAGTAACACAGTGTACCTGTTTAAATCTCCTTCTTTTTAACGTTTAAACGTTCTTTGTTTCGTAAAAGTTAACTTCAGTTCGGATGTAAACAGTTTATTTCAGTCTATTTTATTGTTATCAGACTTCACGTATCAAATGACATCTTTTCAAACTGGACTAATAATTTTTGTTACGGGTTTTTCGTATGATATTCCTTTTATAATCTTAACCTCGGGTTTATTCTTACAATATTCTTAATTTTTTTTACAAAATTCAGCCTCAATATTCTTAAAAGATATATTCTTAAAATATATATTCTCATAAAAAGACAAGAGTGGGTATTGCGCTGAAATGTTGCATGCATTTGGCTGTGCCCTCGAAGAAAACTAGTTTGATTGAAATCTCAAAAAAGTGTAGTTTGCCACTAGAAAATGCCCTTTGTGTCTGGATAAATGAAACTTTATTATCCTTATACTCTTTGTTTATTTAGTTTTAGTATTTCTTCTTTTTTTCTGAATCTATTCTAAAAGACCTAACAGCTTTACCCAGGTTACAAGTTAATGTTTATACAACTTAACCCGGAACAAACTAACGATCAACCTTGTTTAACTTTGGTTCAATCTTTGTGTAGCTAGTGGACAGATGCGGTAATTTCAGAACCTAATTTCGGACATGATTTTTTTATCAATTCAATCTCGGACAATCCAGTGGGTATTGTATACTTTGCACGCAGTTTGGTTCATTCATGACTTGATTAAAGTATCATATCAGGTTTATTTTGTATTCCAGATCTTGCTGTACATATCAAAAGCTCGTTCCACATAGAAAAAGAAACCAACTAATCTTGTGCTTCGTGTGGAGCATATTTATTTCCAGCTTGGTAAGGGAAACAGATCTTAGAAGTCCGTAAAGTCCCCCCCCCCC